ATATGGATGGATAGATAGGTGGACAGGCTAAACAATTAGGTATGTCTAAATGGGGAGTGTATCCAAGATCACATATAGGGTTGGCAGACAATGGTCCTATAAGTTTATGTGAGTGATCAGAATCCCCAGGTGTATAGTAGAGCTTCCGTAGTGATACTGCCTCGGAAACCCAAGGAGGGGTCGCTATGAGTCAGGGCTGACTCGACGGCACATAACAACAACATAGTAGAGCTGACAAGGGACAAGGTTGTAGTCACTTCTTGGTCACAGCCAGCTATCCAGAGGGAATGAGTAGTTAAACCTGTGGGCTTGGGACCATAGTCACAGGGGACATCAAGTTCAATTGGCATAACATACTACACAAAACATTGTTCTACCTCCTATTTTGGCAAGTAGTGACTAGGATCTTAAAAGCTTGCAAGCAGCCATCTAGATGTAACAATGGGTCTCTCCTCATCCAGGGCAAAGAAGAATGAAGAAAACCAAAAGATTCATGGAAACAAATAGTCCTGGTGACTGGTACACCAAGCGATCCTCAGCCCATACGACTATAAGCCCAGAAGAACTAGATAGTGCCCAGCTACCACTGTCAACTACTTGGAGCGGGAATCTACGTAAGAGATCCTGGATAGAGAGGGAGAACAATGTGGAACAAAACTCAAAATCATTTGTGGTGGGGAGGAAGACCAGGTTTGCTGGTCTGACAGAGCCTGGTGGAACCACTGAGACTATGGCCCCTAGCTGCCCTTCAGGTCTGGAATTGAATCCACACCTTTGGCTTTCAGCCAAACAAAAGACAGGCATATGAGTTGAACATTTACCTGAGGTAGATACATTCCTGGGTGAGAATAATCATGGGATTATTCCTTGCACAGGAAGACAGCTCAGGGGGCTGGACTGCATGGAGGGATGGACACAGGGAAGAGGTAACTATGGGAAGGAAGTGGGCAGGGAGCTGTTGCATTGTGGTAAACTGTAGCCAATGTCACGAGACAAACTTTATGTGAGCTGCTGTATGGAAAGTGAATTTCCTCTGAAAACGTTCACCCAAATCAAAAGTTAAAAACAACAACAACAACAACAAAAACAAAAACCCGAGACAAACACACACCATGGAAGGAAAGAGGAAAATAATAAATAGAAAGAAGAAAGGAGGAAGAAAAAAAAAGAATCATTTATACAGAAACAAAACAAAACAAACTAAAACTGGGGGGTGGGGGTAGGGTATCTGGGCTCTTCTGCCAGCCAAGCAGGAATTTATTATTATTATTTTTTAAATTTTAAACATGGTTAGTACTGTCCCATAGGAGCTCTGGTAGCATAGTGCCTAAGGCACTTGACTGCTAACCAGAAGGCTGGCGGTTCAAATCCACCAGCCACTCCTCGGAAGAACCCAAGGAGGGGTCGCTATGAGTCGGGGCCGACGCGACGGCAAATAACAACAACAACAACAGTACTGTCCCATAGATACACTTTTATGTCCTTTTTTTAAAACTTAAACAAGAGTTGTAAATACTTCCCATATGCTTTCCCAAACCGTTCACGGAATAGATCTAGACAAGCTGGTTGTGAAACTGCGGTAGCTTTGAGACTGGGCCTTGGATTCCAAGAACTGCTCTCTACAGTTCAAATTGCTAACGGTAAAGTAGACCCCTTCGAAAATAACAAAGGTCTCAAACCTGGGTAGGAGGGAACCCGGCGAACCAAATAGGAGTGAGGTTAGGGTGCGCCTGCTTCAAGGTCACAGCTGAACCGGCGGAGGCGGAAACCGGGTCGGATTTCAGGCTTTCAGCGTCGGCGCCGCAAGCTGCTCCACCCTGGCGTCATGGGGTGCCTGACGCTTCTGCTGCTCTTGGGGGTTCCCCACGTTTGGGGAAGTTCTGAGGGTGAGTGGAACTAGAGCACCCAGGGTCTGCACTCCCTGAGGGCAGCTAGAGGAAGGCTGGCTGGGAGAGGGTTGAGACTGGACCTCTCTCGCACCCTGGGAGCCCGACCAAGCGCGGAGTGACCTACCCGGGAATCAGCGGCTACGGCCACCGGCCAGGACGTGGGGGCGGGGAACGGGCTCAGAGCTACTGCCCGCCTCTCCTTCCCAGCCCATGGGTATTTATTTGTTTGTTCTCTTTTTCCTTTATGTTGTCTGCTCTCCTGGCCAATCGCTAACGCCCCTTCAACCTCTGTGCAGTCCCAACCGCGCCAAAGAATTTCACCCTCCGGTTTCTCCAGATCTCGTCCTTCGCCAATAGCAGCTGGACGCGCACTGACTGCTCGATGTGGCTGGGGGAACTGCAGACCCACAGCTGGAACAATGACTCGGACGCCTTCAGCTTCCTGCTGCCCTGGTCCCACGGCAACTTTAGCGAGCAGCAGTGGGAGAAGCTGCACCATTTGTTTCAGGTTTATCGGATCAGCTTCAAAAGGGACGTGCAGGAATTGGTCAAAATGGTGCACGGAGCATGTAAGCTGAGGGATGGGATCCTGGGCAGGTAATCAAGGGAGGAGAGAGGACGAGGACGTAGAATTCCTCTTGGGAGACAGCGGTGCCACTGTGTGAGTCCCTTACCTCTTCACCCTCTTCTGATTTCCATTTTGCCTGGAGACTTCTCAAAATATCCCTTGTTCCTGTCTGCCCCAACTCACCCACTCTCATTTCCCTGAACTCTAGCGGTTCTACTCTGAACACACGTTGGGGAGGAGGGGAGTGTTTGTCAGATCCACTAACTAGAACAGTTTTTTTTTTTTTTCTTTCCTTTTCTTTCTAGATGCCCTAGTATAACCCTCACACCAGTATCTTCTAGATTCCTTGCAGTCTTTTAAACCTTTCTTTGATCTGTATCCATACCTGTTCTCAGACCCCATTGAGCTCCAGATTTCTGCGGGCTGTGAGGTGCACGCTGGGAACGGCTCAGAAAGCTTCTTCCATGTAGCCTGGCAAGGAATAGATATCCTGAGTTTCCAAGGAACTTCCTGGGAGCCAGCTCCAGAGGCCCCACCTTGGGTTCAGGTGGTCAGCAAAGTACTCAACCTGGACCAAGGGACAAAGGAGATGGTGCAGTGGCTCCTCAATGACACCTGCCCCCAATTTGTCCGTGGCCTCGTTGAGGCAGGGAAGTCAGAACTGGAGAAACAAGGTCAGCCTGCCTCCCTCACACCCCTACCCTCCACTAGTGGCCTCACTAGTGTTGGTGTCACTGCTCCCATACATGGACTCCCCCCATACCAGACCATGTGGAATCCTTAGTAATGTTTATTATTAACTTTAATCATATAATATGTAGTAAATGTAGTTATAAATTGCTTAAAATGTAATATTTCTTAGATTATATGAATACTAACAAAAATGTTTTGTAAAATCCAGGATTGGGCAGTGTTTTGTTTTGCTGTGCATGGGGTCGCTATGAGTCGGAAACGACTCCACGGCACCTAACAACAACATCTTTCTATGTTGAATTATAATGTTAGTTACAACTTAATTAGTAAATGAGGAGAAGCGTTTTTAATTTTTCATCTTTTAAATACTTCATCCTTAAAAAATTATTGATAGAACATTCACAAATGCCGATTATCACAATATTATAGCTAAAACACCAGAAAATTGGACAGAATCAGTGACTGAAAACAACAGCGTGTGCTTGTAGTGCATGCAGACAAAACAGTATGATTCGAAGGGTCATTGTAATTGGGTAATAATGACAACCCTGACTGGAGCATATTAGAAGGTTCGTTTTAGTCTTGTAGGTCTATTGATAAATGTAAGCTGGGCTTACAGAAAATATTTTTGTTGTTACAAACTACAGGAATACTTTTCTAAAATATAATAAATTTCTGCTGAAACACAGCACAAAAATTTTGTTAACAGTCATTTTGGTGTCACTTCCTCTGAGTGTCACCCAGTGCAGTCTGTACCCACAATACTCCCCTAGTGACAGCACTGCCTTCCCCTCTGGGAGTCCATCCAGGGTTTTTCATTTCAGTGTTCTCATCCCTTTAAGCATCAGAGGAAGAGAAAGGCCCAAGAAGGGATGGATGAGGGGTGAGAGTACCCATTCATTCTGAAGACATTAACTGAGCCCCTACTAAACCAAACCAAACCTGCTGTCATAGAATGGATTCCAACTCCTAGTGACCCTAAAGAACAAAATAGAACTTCCTCATAGGATTTCCAAGGCTGAAAATCTTTATAGAAGTAGACTACCATATGTTTCTCCCTTGGAACAGGTGATGGGTTTGAACTGCTGACCTTTTGGTTAGCAGCCCAATGCTTTAACCACTGTGCCACCAGAGCTCTGAGCACCTATAAACCAAACCAAAAAGGGAGCTCTGGTGGCATAGTTCCTAAGGCATTTGACTGCTAACCAGAATTCAATTGTATGCATGCTGGGTTTAAAAAATGAGAAAGGAGGTGGGATTTGTGGTTAAGGGGTAGGATAAGACAAATGAACAATTAAAGCAAACCTTAAAACATTCTGGGTAAGTTGTAACCAAACACTCTACAGGATGCTATAGAAACACAGAGGAGGGGCTTTATGTGATTCTGGGATCTCATATTGGGTTGTTCCACAGGTATAATTTATGTCTTGCTTTTAAAACTTAAATAATAGTTGTAACCAGTTCCCACATAGTGTCCTAAATTTGGATCAGGGAAACAGAAATGAAAATCAGGGAGACTTTCCCTGAGAAGTTAACAGAAATGGATTAAAGTTATGAGAGGCTTCATCTTCAGAAGTGGAAATGTGGGAAGCATGAGCCTGATACGAGGCCCAGAGCCTCAAATGAAGAGAATGGAGTTCCTACTTTAAGGTCTCCCCATTCTCTTTTGGATACAGAGAAACCTGAGGCCTGGCTGTCTTATGGCCCCTCTCCTGGTCCTGGCCATCTGCTGCTGGTGTGCCATGTCTCAGGATTCTACCCGAAGCCCGTGTGGGTGATGTGGATGCAGCGAGAGGAGCAGCAGCCAGGCAGTCAGCGAGGTGATGTCCTGCCCAATGCTGATGGGACCTGGTATGTTCGAGTAACACTAGATGTGGTGGCTGAGGAGGCAGCTGGCCTGTCTTGCCGAGTGAAGCACAGCAGTCTAGGTGGCAAGGATATCATCCTCTACTGGGGTGAGAAACATTGTGGATCCAGGCTGGAAGTGGGAGATGGTGGTCCTTGGTGTAGGGGGAAGAGCTGGGAAAGGGGTGGGGCTTTCTAGGGGTGGAGTTTGATAGGTCCAAGATGGAAGACCTTCAGAGATGAGGATCTCAACCAGGAGGGATAGAAGAAAGGGATTTCACATATAGGTAGGAGGGCAATGAGAACCTGAAACTCAAAATCTCAAAAAGGACTGAGATGAGATGTTTCAAAAAGCAAGAATGAAGGACTCAGAGATACAGAAATAGGGAGCAAATAAATAATCCCAGCAGGATTTCATCCACCTAGAGGAAGCAGGGGTAGCTCTGGTAGCATAGTGGCTAAGGCACTTGACTGCTAACCAGAAGGCTGGCGGTTCAAACCCACCAGCCACTCCTTGGAAGGAAGATAGGGACAATCTACTTCCGTAGTGATACTGCCTCGGAAACCCAAGGAGGGGTCGCTAAGAGTCGGGTCTGACTCCACAGCACATAACAACAACAACAACAGAGGAAGGAGGAGCTCTGGTGGTGTAGTGGTTAAGGCGTTTGGCTGCTAATCTAAAGGTCAGCAGTTTGAATTTACCAGCCATTCTGCATGAGAAAGGTGAGGTAGTGTGCTTCTGTAAAGATTTAAACCCTTGAAAACTCTATGGGGCAGTTCCACTTGGTCCTATAGGGTCACTCTGAGTTGGAGTCAGCTCTGTGGCCGGGGTTTTTGTGGGTTTGGGAGGAAGGTGCCTTAGCTTCCTAGTGCTGTAACACAAATACCACAAGTGGGTGGCTTTAGAGAACAGAAATTTATTTTCTCATGGTTTAGAAGGCTGGAAATCTGAATTCAAGACACTGGCTTGGGGAAGCCTCTCTGTCAGCTAGGTGGGGGAGAACCTTATCTCAGCTTCTGTAGCCCATGTGTTCCTCAGTTCCTTGCTGACCATCATGTGAGATTCATCTTCGCTGTTTGGGCTTCTTTACCTCTGTGTCTTTGTCTAATCTGCTCCATATAATTCATCTCCTTATAATTCAGAAGTGATTAGGTTAAGGAAACATTGTACACTGATATGACCTCATAACAAGGAACACCCTATTCCTAGCAGGATTACATCCACAGGTATAGGGGCTAGGATTCCAAAACATAATTTGAGGGGACACAATTCAATCCAGAACAGAAGGAGACCAGGGATTTTAGAAAGATTAACAAAGATATAAAACTCAAACTTCCAACCTTTACTTTAGGTTAGCACTTGAGCACCATCCAGGAACTCCAGCTATGGCTTTTTTAGTGCTTCCTGTGTGTGGATAGAGTATTCTGCATACTCTTTTTTTAAAAGACGTTTTGTGTTTCTGGTGAAAGTTTACACAGCAAATTAGGTATCTTTTTTTTTTTTTTTTAAACAATTTCTGTATGTATTGTTAAGGAGCTCTCATGGTGTAGTGGTTAAGGCATTTGGCTGCTAACCAAAAGGTTGTTGGTTCAAACCCACCAGTTGCTCCTTGGAAAAAAGATGAGGCAGTCTGCTTCCATAAAGATTGACATCCTTGGAAGCACAATGGGGATCTCTGTGAATTGGAATAGACTCAATGGCAGTGAGTCTGGTTTGGTTTAATATACATATTGTTAAGGAGCTCTGGTGGCGTAGTGCCTAAGGCATTTGACTGCTAACCAGAAGGCTGGTGGTTCAAACCCACCAGCCACCCCTCGGAAGGAAGACTGGCAATCTACTTCTGTATAGATAACTGCCTCGGAAACCCAAGGAGTTTCCATATTAACATATTGTTAAGGGGGATCTTGGTGGTGCAATGGTTAAGAGCTCTGTTGCTAACCGAAAAGTTGGTAGTTTGAATTTACCAGCTGTTCTGTGGCAGGAGGAGGTGGCAGTCTATTTCCATAAAGATTTATGGCCTTGGAAACCATGTGGGGCAGTTCTTTGTCCTGTAAGATCATTACTGCAAAGAGTTTGGTTTGGTTAGGTTCTTATACATTGTTCAGTGACTTTGGTTACATTTTTCAAAATGTTTCAACATTTTCTTATTTCTGTTCCAGTGGTTTTGTTCAAAGTTTAAATGGTATGTCGGGCAACAGTCTTAGTGGTGCCTCTAGTCTCCACTGGTCCAGTAAGTGTGGCCTTTTTCAAGAATTAGAGTTTTGTTCTGCATTTTTCTACCCTTCTATCTGGGACCATCTACCATGTCCTTGGTCAGAACAGTTGGTAGTGATAGCTGGGCACCATCTAGTTCTGGTCTCAGGATAGATGATGCCGTGGTTTGTGTAGACTGTTAGTCCTATGGACTAGTTTCTTGAGTCTTTGGTTTTCTTCTTTCTCTTTTGCTGCATATGAGTAGACATCAGTAGTTATATCTCAGATGGCCACTTGCAAGCTTTTAAGATGCTACTCACCAAACTAGGATGAAGAACATAAACTTTACGAGCAATGCTATCTCATAGATTATTTCATTTAATCATCACAACTCTCCTTTGAGGCAGATAATATTGGCATTTTATAGATGAGAAAATTGAGGCTAAGATAGGTTAAGAAAACTGCCTGGAGTTAGTAAGTGGAAAGTCTGGATTTAGATTCAGGTCTGTTTCTACAAAGCTGCCGTCCTTTCCCTCTGTTGTACCCTAACAGTTGCTGAAGTGAACTGAATTAGGGATACTCACTCCCTGAGAAAAGGTATAGAATCTAAGCTTAGGAGGAATAAGAGTGAGTGTTTTAAATGGGGGAGGGAATAAAAAGCACCTGGCACCCTCACAAGTGCTCAGACCAGGGAACTTAATTAGGGAGGGGCCTTATGGTGACACATATTCTGTGTTCTCCAAAGCAGACAGGAGCCATGTTTCCTTGGGCTGGATCATCTTGGCAGTACTGGTGCTTCTTCTGCTTATTGCAGGTTTCATCTTGTGGTTTATGAGGCATCGGTGAGTCTCCTCTTTCTACCTCCTTCTCTCCTAGTTCCTCTCCCCACACCCTCTGCCCTCTATCCACCCCCACCCCCCTTCCCTCATGGCCTTTTTCTCTTCCCACAGCTCCTATAAAAGCATCCTGTAACTCTTCTTGCCACATCTGCCTCTGTGGAACTCTAGACCTCAAGTTTCCAAGACTTCAGCTGTGGTCTGCTTGGGAGTTGACATGAAAGTTATCTTGGAGAAGTGGAAAACAATCTTAAAAGTGAAAATTACCTTGAAGAAGTGGAAAATAATCGTAACACAGCTCTGGTCACAACTTTTCAACATGTTATCTGAAAGAAGTCAATCTGTTTTTTATTAGACTAGAAGTCTGTAACCCAAAGAGATTCTGTGAAAAAGGGGGCATGAACTCACATACCTACCAGGGACATGCAGATAAGTGCTGGGATATAAGTGAGTGTGGTGCAGTGGATTACTTTTATATGGCCTTTCTTGCCATGGTCTTATAATTGTATGAAACTATTCAAATAATGTGCTTGTGGCCCACCAAGGGGATTGGATAGTTTGCTAATAATTCAAATAAGGCTCATAGTATCCTTATGGGGGTTAGTCTATGCAAGTAAGGACTATGGAAACTTAATGAGGGGATTGATCAGTTTTGCTGTCCCATTAGGCTTAAAATGAGCCATCCCATAGGCAGGAAGGTAGGACCTTACTACTATCAAGAAGTGATGGGAGTGGAGTATGTCTTTTGGATCCAGGGTCCCTGTGCTGAGAACCTACTAGACCCAGGAGTGAGAGAGTTGAGTGCCTTTGGGCAGGAGGCTTGCTGGCAGAGTAAGGCCTACTGGGACTTATTGGTGGAGCTAAAGAGCTTTAGAACACTTGCCTGAGGTGGACTGGCCCAAGAAGCCCAAGGAGTCAAAAGGCTGAGGGCCAGGGAGAAGCATGCCTAAGTGCATAGCTGAGAAGCTATCCTGACCAAAGAACTGTATCCTGAGTTGTTCCCAATCCCAAATTTTAATCTGATACTTCCCTAATAAATCCCATAATTTTAAGTATTGTCTGTGAGTTCTGTGCAGCCATTGCAATGAATGATCAAACCCAGCAGAGATGTAGAGAGTGCTGTGAGAGGGACAGCTGGTGTCAGAATTGGTAAAAATGTTGGAGAGAGTAGATACGTCTGACCTCTGCTTCCTAGGAATCAGCTTTGGGCTGCTACTGATGGTGATTCTCTCTTCCCCTCGTGAAGTTAGAGGAGGTCAGATGCCTCTGTCATACCATTTTTACAGGCTGTATCTTGTAAACAGTTGCTGTTGTTGTTAAGTGCCATCGAGTCGTTTCCGACTCATAG